TAGGTAAAACCACTTGACCTGTAGATCACTTAGATGCCTTCCCTCTGTCTCTGTGCTTCTAGGAAAGTTGAAGCTTTCAGCTTTAGGAAGAGGACATGTATTTAGAGCCTGGGGCTCTTGCACCCACTTCCCTTGCCTAGTTTGCCTTACAGCTTCTACTTTCTGGGGACTGGGCCTACCTCAGGAGAAGATCACAGCTCTTCATTCCCTCCACACACCTGGTCCATCCTGTCAACTTGAGGAGTTTGAGGCTTAGGTGACAACGGACAGAGGAAGGTTCTGAGGTCATTGCTGAAGAGGAGGGGAGTGAAAGGAGTCTCCCAGTGCCAACTTCTGCATGAGATGTCCAAGGACTGACAGGCAAGACTGAGATGAGGACTGGGGGAATCCAACGAGATTTGGCAGAAGAGAGTGTTGGAAGAGTGTACCTGGTGTGAGGAAATTTTGTAATCGGAATGAAAGACAGGACTCTATTTAAGAGATGGCAAATGGCCCTGCTGTGGCCAAGTGTAACCACGTGAGAAATAAAATGCATGGTTCTTCTTCTTTGACATCACCTTGAAGTGTAATTAGATGTATTAAAGAGTACTTATAAGTTCCCAAATGTAACTTTTTGAAATTTTAAAAGTTCACTCTACTCACCTTTCTCTCAGGTTAATAATACTAATAATGTTAAAAATGTAAAAAAAAAAAAAAAAAACCTTGGTTTAATATTTTTATGTTTTTCTATATATATTCTATTTTCAGAGCCTAAAATATTTTTTTTGATTATGTGTCATTTTACTGTGTGTGTATGTATGTAAGCATGTATTTGTGTGTGTGTGTATGTGTATGTGTGTGTGTATTTCAATTTATTTCAATTAGATTGTGTTTTATAGAAGAGCCTGGGAATTTTTAATTCTTTTTCCATAGGAAGTGTGTTCATCTTACATATAAACTTTTGCACCTTACCTGTCTGTAAATTGAAACTTCCTTCCCAGGTGTTTGTGGCTCAGGCCTGTAACCATAGCTACTCTGGAGGTAGAGATCAGGAGGATCATACTTCTGAGCCAGCTTGGGCAGTGAGTTCACAAGATCCTATCTTGGCCATTGACTGGGTGCAGTACTGTGTGCCTGTCATCCCAGCTACTGCTGGAAGCATAAATAGGAGGATCATAGTCCACACCAGCTTGGGCAAAAAGTGAAAACTATCTCAAAAGTAACCATCTCAAAAAGGGCTGTGGAGTGGCTCATGCAGTTGAGTGCCTGCCCATGAAGCATGAAGCCCCGAGGTCAAATCCCAGGATCGTCAAAAAAAAAAACAACAAACTTCCTTTTATAATAAAAAGATATTTTCCCTAAAGTTATAAATGGCTTTAAGATGATTTATAGAATTCTTTCATTCATGCCATGACCTGTTCTAGTCTTAAAAGTAATTGAGAATTAGTTTATTTTAAAGGCCAATATTTCTCATTTTATTTCATAATTGTCATGGGTGTATTAAAGGTTTTTAAATTGGGTAAGTTATGTATTAACAGAGTGAATATTCCCCCAAGCAGTGACCATTTGTTGACTTCAGAATCACCTGTCACACTCTATTCTCTATAATTTTCTAGTGTCAGTGTATTATGCCCTCTGAGAGTACTGCCATTTAAGTAGGTAAAACCTGGGGCATGACTCAAGTGGTAGAACGCTTGGACCCTGAGTTCAAAACTCTTGCAATGACAAAAAAAAATAATAAATAAAAGCTAACACTGTCCTCTTACACATTAATTTTCTTATTGTAAGTGTTCATGGTAGACATCAGATTTCTTGACTAAGAAGGTAAAGAGTTTGTTTTGTTTTATTAAAAAGACACAGTTATCAGTGCTTTTGGTTTCCAGTGCTTTTAGAAGTCAACTCTTCTAGTTTCTCTCTCTCTTTCTCTTTTGTGGTAATGGGGTTGAACTCAGGACCGACCTCATGCTTACTGTGCAGGCACTCTGACACTTGAACTACTCTGCCAGTCCTTTTTGTGTTGGTTATTTTTGAGATAGGGTCTTGCTTTTTGCCCAGCCAGTTGGGACCAAGATCATGTGCCACCATACTCAGCCACTGGTTGAGATTTGGGTCTCAAACTTTTTGTGCAAACTGGCCTTAAACCACGATCTTCCCAATCTCTGCCTCCCAAACAGCTAGGATGATTACAGGTGTAAGCCACCATGCCTAGCCTTACTTTCTCTCTTATCACTGTCTTAAGTATGTATTTATGTATCTGTGTACTTTGTTGAGGCGGAATTCTCATATCATAAGTTTAAGGGGAACAAATTCAGTGGCTTTTAGTATAGCCGCAATTATTTTATAATGACCACCTCTATGGTTCCATGACATTTTTATCATACCAAAATAAATTCCCTACCCATTAAGCAGTTACTTCCCATTTTTTTCCTCCTCTTAGCCTTTGGGTATCTTTTTTAAAATTTGAAATTCAGAAATTTAAAAAAAATAACAAAACTTTGTGAGATAATTGAGGTATTTTAAGACTTTTAATGACCTGTTCTAAATGTAATAGCATGAAAAAATCTATTTATAGCAGTGGTGGAAAAATAAGATCTCAAAGCCTATGTGTTTACAACTATGAAGAGAGAAAAAGAAACACTTGGTAGAAAAATACACCAAAGCAAAGTAACAATGATCTTGCTCCAGAGTTGTTTTTCTCTTATAAAGGAGGAAAAAATCCTGCACAATTAAAAATAAATCTTTGAATAACTAAAACTTGAACCTAAACCTACTATTGTTAGCATAATCATTTATTTCACGATAATATAAAATGAAATTTTTTTTCCAGATTGAGATACGGTATTTTAAAATATGTACTAAGAGGAAAAGATTTACTGGAAACAAAAAGTATAGTTTTCATAGTTTTTCAGTTCTTTCTATTATACCTCAAACCATGAATTACTGTTTAAGCCATGTACAAATTTACTTTACATTAAAAAAATATTTTTATTGTCCTTTCTTTTCAAACGATAAAAACATCGTCTTATTGCTACAAGCCAGCCACTGCAGAGATGTAGAAATAAAAAATCAAGTCTCCCCTCACAGTAGTACCTGCCTAAAATAACTGTTGTTAGTAGTTGGTAGGTATTCTAGGTCTTTCTGACTTGTCACTTACATGTCTATGTAACAGAATTGGACCCTGTTGAGTCAAAAACTCAATGTCTTCAAGGATGGTCCTGGCAGTTAAGGTGACTATGAATGCATTAAGGAAAGGGAGGTCATTGGAAGTGGATTCTACCTCGCCAAGCTTTCATATTGAAGCACAGTCAAAGCTCTGTGCTGACCAGACAGGAGAATCAGTCCCTTGATAGTCTCACTGTGCTGTGTTCCCTTCCCTTTGGAATATCGAGTAACTTAGTCAAAGATTTGCCTAATTAGTGACAGCTAGTAGGATGGTAAAGTTCATCCCACGGGCATTTGGGATCTAAGGGTCTAAGGACACTGAAAAGAGAGCACTGGAATATAATTATTAGCATATATACAAAATTGGTAAGCTTCCTTTAGGGCAGCAAAACCTTAATAGTGGGAGTGTGCTGGATAGAAATTACCTCCACAAAACAGAAACCTGTAAGTTAACCAGTAAGTTCACAGAATTTGGGTCCTAATCAATAGTAAAGTGCTGGTCAAACAGTGGCACTATAATGAAATATCTTTAGGAGAACTTAATAAACAATGTTTTAGTATATATTAAAAGGGCTCACAGTTCTTGATTTGCTTTATTTATAGTGGTTAATTTTTCTTAACCATGGGAAGGGCCTGTTGCGACATGTGACAATGCAAGAGAGATGAAGGTAGAGATGAGATTTTGGAAAAGCATGCAAACTTTCTTTCAGCAGATGTTATTGAGCAGTTACTGTAGGCCAGGCAGTGGACTTGTGATGCTGAGTGTGTGGTTGAACTGTAGTGCCCCTCCCTTGTGCTAGGGGTCTCACTAGTGCTTCTCAAGGGGTTGTATTAAGGTGTTACTTGGGAAGCTACTTTTCTTAAAATATACTTCTTTTTGTATGTTTTTAGTCCCAATGTAAGATATCTTTGAGTAGAACAGAGGTGTTTTGAAAAAGCTTTTGCAGGTGATTTTTATATTACTCTTCTTTTGAAAATCATTGTTATATACTGGACTTTTTTTTTTTTTTAACTGAATGAGTAAACAGCAAACATTTTTGTGGCACAATGACTGGGAATCAAACCCAGGGAGTTGCACATGCTAGGCAAGTTCTGGGCCATATCTCTAGTCCAACAAATAAAATTTCAATCAGTATTTTAAAAGTTTCCATAGTTCTTCTTGCCTGCCCCACCCGTGATACTTAAAGTAATTAATGCCCTTTTTATAACATCTGCAAGAATGATGCAGTTGTCGTATATTTTCTTTTCTTTTTTCTTTCGAAGTGCTAGAGTTTGAATCCAGGTCTTGTGCATGCCAGACAAGCAGTCTATCACTGAGCCACACTCCTAGTCCTCAGTTGTCATATATTTTAGGCAACTGATAATTACTTTTAGAAAACCAGGCTTATTCTTAATTGTAACCTTAGATTATGCCTCTTATTAAGTAAATGGAAAAGAGTTGTTATTTATAATGATGTGTGACCTGCATGGCAAAGGTACGTTATTAAAAGACTAGATTTAAAAAAAAATGCTTTTAATGGGAAAATAGACTATCATTAACTTGTTGGAGATTGTGGTAAAAGGGAATAAGTATCAAAGTGGAAAAGTGTATATGTGTTTAACTTGTGGTTAAGCTATTTGTATTTGAATTGAGTAAGCAATTAAAATGAGGAGCTGATGTGGACATGCATTTAAATTCTTTCATTATAATTTAAATTAGGCAGCCATTTTGTGTAAATGCATTCACAAAGGTGGGATTTGTGATTTCAGTAACGTTAAGTAGCCATGGAATTTATAATTTGATCACAGGATATGTGATTAGGGAAGAAATTGAGAAATAACATGATACAATTGCTATATTGTATTTTTCTTTTTATTAGTGTGCAGGTCCAACAAAAGCCCCTGGGTCTGTTTGACTTGTTCAAGTGTTCACTGTGGAAGGTATGTGACACATTTATTACTTCATTACCCTACTTGCTTTTAAAAACTTGGCCTATAATAAAGCTTTATATCAAAGTTTATTGACTTGGAATTATTTGGTATTTTTGTTAATCATATTACGTAATTCTCTGTAGGGTTCCCTGACTAATTAAATCCCTTTGTTTTCTGATACAACTGGGAAAAATCTAGGGAAAAAACCCTTATGTTCCTACTCAGAAGAATTACTTTGAGGAAAACAATCTACTTTTAGCATTTGGTTGGGGAAATGAAGTAAAGGAACTTTCAAATCTTGGAATAAAAGTTTATTTAATTTTTTTTTAAGCCTTCTAGTAGGGTAGGGTAAGATTTAAGCACACATCAAAGTAGAGTATAATTAGATCTCTTGTTTTTATCTCAACTTCAACAGTTGTCAACATGGAACCAATCTTGTTTCACCTATTACCTAACCTGTCCCTACCTTTACTGACTTTTAAATCAAATCCCAGATATCATATTGTTCTGGGGAGAAAAATCCTAAAAAATAAATATTTACCAATAAAGGAATTTCCTTTGAAAATGACCTCAGTGTGGAGTTAATTATTTATTCTTGCCTAATATGTACCATATGTTTTATTGTTCCGTTAAAACATTTTGCTTTCTTGCCAGGCACCAGTGGCTCACGCCTATAATCCTAGCTACTCAAGAGGCAGAGATCAGGAGGATCACAGTTCGAAGCCAGCCTGGGCAAATAGTTCCATGAGAACCTATCTCGAAAAAACTCTTTGCTTTTAAAAAACGACTGGCGGAGTGGTTCAAGGTGTGGGCCCTGAGTTCAAGCTCCAGTACCACAAAGAGAAAAAAAAAAATTGTTTTCCATGTATATTCTCCCACCTGGAGACCACCTAGTCTCAATCCTTACCATTTCCTTCCAGTTGTTGGCTTCAAAATAGTATTAAATATTCAATAACTTTTTTCTTCTAACACAAATTCAGCTTCTGTGTTCTCTTAGTTATAATAGCACATTCATTTCTACTGTGATTTTAGCTTAGAAAATCTACTTTGAATTTACCTTAGGAGTTACTAGCTTACCAGCAAGGAGATAGGAACTATGTAAGTCACGCAGGTTGAGATCTGTTTGTACTTATCTTCAGTATTTTTCCATTGTTCTTTCTAAATCTTCTTTGCTGAAGAGAGCCTCTTTGTTCAGTTAACTTGATTCTTCACATTTTGAGTCTTGAAATTGAGTAGCCTTCCCCTGTACTTTTGGAAAATATTAACTGTGTATCTTAATTGTGGCTTAAAAATTTCTAGGTTTTGGGGAACCTGAAAATAGATAATTTTTTGTTTTTAAAGAAGAAAAGTAGGCGCACTTGAAGAGACAGAGTCCCCTCTTAGATTTTGAGAGGTGAGAATTATAATGCAATAACATTTTTGTAGTTATCTTCTTATGATACTCTGCACCCTAAATATTGAAGATCATATCCAGTGAAACGACCTGACAAATTTTGAAACAAAACAAAACAAAACAAAACTTGGAGAGATTAATTTTTTTTTTTTTTGGCGGGACAGAGGTTAAACTCAGGGTTTCCTGTTTGCAAAGCAGGCACTCTGGCACTCTGCCACTAAAGCCATCCCTCCAGTCCATTTTGGTTTGGTTACTTTGGAGATGGGGTTATTCCAGCTATTTGCTCAGACTGGCTTTGAACTATGAGCCTCCTGATCTCAGCCTCCCAAGCAGCTAGGATTGTAGGTGTGAGCCACTGGCACCTGGCTAATAATGTTCTTAATACCAAGCAACAAACAAATCTCTGTATAGGTTTTGGAAAAATAATTGAAAATTATCTAGACTTTCCAATTGCAGGCAAGCTTAAATTTAGAAATTTGACATAGTTTTGGAGAAGTATGATTAAGTAGATTAAACAGATAATTGCCCATAGCCTGAATTTGGATCTCCATTTTTACATAGCCTATTGGTTAGCTTTCTTTTATCATGTAATTTCAGGTGCTGACTGCCAGATATACTGATTTTTCAGTAATTTAAGACTACTTGTTTATAGAGAAGTTTAAATCGAATATTCTCCCAAGTAGGAAACATCATTTATCAGTAGTATATTTGAGTTACATATTCTGTTGTTCTTCATAACACCATCCTATTTAAGTTATTTTTTTTAAACTTTGGAGATTGTTAGGAATCTATGACATACATGCTGAAACTTTTCCTCTTGTGCAAAAACACAAAAAGTCTACAGTAGCTAAGATTCCAAAAGTAGGTGAGGAAAATGTTTATTTTTATGTAAGCCAGTTTATACAAAACTGCTAACTTCTGACTGATGTGTTTGGGTATTAGCTGAAATGTTGCTAATCTTAATGTCAATCCTACTTCTTTGTCACTGACACTTTATAGGAACCATTTAAACATCTAGCACATTTGGAAACTACAACATTGTAACTAAAAAACTACTTACTATATATATATATATTATATATATATATTATATATATATATATATAATATTATATATATATATACACACTATGTAAAGATGATCAGTTTTCAAAGACTCAGAAGTAGTATTGCCATTTTTTATGATTATTGTTCAATATTAATTTTTCTTTGACTTTGAAGGCACTCCTCAATGTAAATGTTATCATTGTTTTTCCTGGTATATGCTATAAGTAGAATAGAAAATTAAGTTGGTTAGCTATTAAACCTATGTGATGTCTTGAAGTTTAATTTTTTAATTAGTGTTTCTTTACCTATACTCAAAATATGTGCCTACTTTCTCAGCAAGTGTGTCATTTGGATTTTGAATAAATGGTAGTTAAACATAGAAGGTAACATGCTAATAAAATATAGTCATTTGTTTTGAGACACAGATTTTTTTAGTCACTCAACAACCCATGCAGTGTAACTCTGTATTATAATCTCCATTAACAGATGAGAAAAGCTGAGTAACTCACCTATGCTCATATGGCCAGGATGTGACAAAGCCTGCTTTTGAACCCAGGCAGTCTAATTTTCGAGCTTATACCTTTAGTTATTTTGCGTTAAGACTCAGTATAGTCTACTTTGGGGGATCAAGGACCCATGTATACCCTAGTGTTAGTTGTATTTAAATTAATACTAACACAGTATTTAAACTAACACAGTGAAAAAATGGAATGTGATTAAATTCTGAGTTGAGGTTAATAGTGCCTTGAATGTGTCCAGTTTACCTGGGGTTTAGAGTTTTGAAGTTGATCTCCTCTATTTTATACAACTGCCCTACTTTCCCCAAAGTAAATGTTGTTTTAGATGTAATTAATGTGTCTCCTGATGAAAATGTCATCTGAACTCCAAGCCTGTTTATTTTGGTGCCATTTAACCATGATTTGTTTCAACTATTTGAGTTTTCAAGTAGACATTGCCTTCTATAGATTGACTGTTTTTTAGGAACTGGGAAGTTTTGTGTTTACACAGTAATGGTCAGTGACAGTGTGGCCTGGGGTGTAGGCCAGAGACCCAACTCCAGGGGTTCCAACATGTCAGATCTGGCCACTTGTCCCAATATAGCAAATACAGAGACGGTAATGGTGAAGGGCAGAGAAAGATTCATCACACAGCATAGGCATACAGGAGAAAGAGGCAAAATAAGCATTTCCGCCCATTTTTGAGGTACTCATGCGAGCTTTAGGTTTAAATAGAGGAAGAATTGGGGTAGGTGTAGAATGTCTGCACAATTAAGCAGTCCCAGGCAAAGTGTGATCTGGTTGATTATTGTCTTAGTTCTGGTTCTGCAAGGGATTCCAGAGAAGTTGTCACTGTCATCACATGAGGGGAGCACTCAGGTCCCCATGAGATGATTACTCCTGCTCCAGGGTACAACCTCATCATTATAGGTAATTACCTTCACTTGGGAGGTGTCTGTCCTGAGAGACAATGCTGTTCTTTTCCATGGGGGGTTAGGTTTGGTCCTTTGTCATAATGATGTTAGCAGTCAGTCCTGTCCTTTCTGGAACTGAAGGTGATTGCAAGAGATACTCAGATGTAAAATGGAAGCAGGCCTTTATCCTGCTATAGTTAACTTGGGGTCCAAGTAAGGAGTCAGTGCTTTCAGGAAAACCAGTTTCTAAGTGCCTGTATAACAGCACTGTACAGTCTTTAGGTAAAGGTGTAGATAAATTTGGGTGCATACCCTCTGCATATAAATCCTTAGTTTGATTTCATTTGCCTGCTGTATAAAATGATTGATTAAACCTGAGTTGGAAAGTGTTACAAAATCTATATGAATGTAACCAACCTTTGATTATCTTTGTCCAGTAGAGAAGTAATAGATCTATAAATTTAAGTTGATTTGTGTTTTGTTTAGATTGTTTCTAAAACAGATTCATTTCTGTATGAATGAGCTGATTATTCAGGCATTCAAATAAAATATCTGAAGCCATATTGAGGAAAAGATAGATTTTTCTGTTTCTATAGCCATCTTTTATATTTTAAATTGAGCAGCAACCCCAGCTTATAGTCCTGTGAAAAGTGGTTGAGTAGTGTAGTTTACAGAGCTTATCTTTGCTAATAGTCCAAGCTGAGGTTTAGTAGTCCAAGAAAAACTTTAAAAAGAAAAAAAGCTATAACAAAAGCGTTAGCATAGGAGTTTATGATTTACATAGATGATGCCTTTCTTTGCCTGGCTCTAATCTAGCATATAATTAAAAGTTGTTAGTATTTAATTGCAAAACAGAAGTATATTTTAAGTATTTAGCTTAATAAATCACCAAATGATTGAATTCTCTTCTAAGTTCCTTGTCATTTTAATTTGATTAACATTTAACTTTATTATCTCTTCCTAACTTAATTTCCAAACCTATAGATTAAAGTAAATTTTCATTTGTTTTTTGTAAGGTATGTGAATGGTCATGCAAAAAAACATTATGAAGATGCACAAATACCCTTAAGCAATCATAAGAAATCAGAAAAGCAAGATAAAGCTCAGCACACAGTGTGTATGGATTGCAGTAGCTACAGTACATACTGGTAAGTTAGTGTTTCTGGAAATTACATTTTTTACACTGGCATGCAAGTGTCCTCTCATCTTCCTGCCCTTCCCCCTCTCTAAACTGATTTTTACTGTCATTTACCTCCTTTTAGTCCTGTTAGGATTCAGGGGACTGGAGCCACCAGGAATTCTGTCCTCACTCATTCAGCTTTCACTTTGCATTGTTCCTTTCAGCTACTGGGCTTCCTCTCTTCTACCACCCCCTGTTCCTTGTCCATCCCAGTAATCTCCTGGGAATCAAAAAAAATATCCATTCCTATTATTATTCATTACATTTCTTTTTATAGTGTTTTAGATTTAAGAATAATATAATAAAAGCTTGTTCAAAAATTAACAACAGCAACAACAAAAAAATTCATATTCCTTCTATCCAGTTAATGTCTTGTCATACAGTCCTACAAATTTTAACTTCTTTGGAAGATTGTTTTGATAATTTTCCTTTTCTGTTCTCCTCTTCTGCTACCTGGGAGGTAAATGTCAAGAATTTCAACTTTTTTTTTTTTTTTTAATGTATCTCATCCTATAAGAGAAAGTTGGAGGTAGTCAGGAGTGGGGGGGGAGGGGGTGGGGAGTGCATGCCTATATGCCAGCACTTTGGAGGCAGGAGGATGGAGAGTTCCAGAACAGCCTTGGACACTTAGTGAGTTTGAGGCTAACTACATAGTGAGACCCCGTCTCAAAAAAAGTTGGAGGCCCTGTTTTTCCTTGCAATATAATGTACATGCCCATTCATGTAAATGATAGTAAAATAGTAGCTATTTTTGTAACTACTTAGAATGAGTTATTTAGGTTACAAACTATGTTTAATAATTCATATAATAATCTGCAGTTTTAATTTAAGGGTGAAGCAAATTTCTTTCCTTGTCTAGCAAATTGTGATGAATAATTCTTGTTATAATCAGCTTACCCTCAATTCTAAAGGCTGTTGATATTGAAGTGGGAAAAAAACCAAGTCATTTAAAGGATCCCATTAGAGATAGTTTTTCTTGCCAAACAGTCCTTGAATGTCAAATGAAGGAAGGTAGAACTGGGCAGAAGTGAGGATTTAAAGTTCAAATATCACTTTTTGTTTGCTTAGGCTTTTTTTTAGGGAGGTAGCATTGAGACAGAGTTATTGTGTAGCTTAGACTGGCCTCAAACTTGAGATCCTCCTTCCTCGGTCTTCTGAGTGCTGGGATTCTGGTGTGCACCACCATGCCCAGCTTCCATATATCACTTTTGATTTGCAGTTTGTACTCAGATGTAGTGCCAGTCTTTTTCTACATTTTTCCATAGTAGATAATTATAGAAAGCTACCAATCCAAAGGAAGAAAAAATAAGGTCAGTGGTTTTCCAGATCTTTTAAATTTTTACCAGTTTAACATGATTAAAATTTGGCTATTGAATAAACTTCTTTAAGGTTTAAGTCATTCAGACAGGTGCTCTTTTAGTGATCCTTTGTGTGGAAGCTGTTCAGACCTAGAAGACTGAGCAGCTAGAAGTAGATAAAGATTTCATTAAAAGTGAAAATCTTTCTGAGATTTTCACCCAAAGAGGAGTGTGTGTGTGTGTGTGTGTGTGTGTGTGTGTTTGTGTGTGTTTGCAGTGCTGGGGATCAAACCCAGGGCTTTGCGCATCCTAGGTAAACACTCTACCACTGAGCACATCCCCAGTTCTCCATTAGTTTTCCCTCCCTTTTCCTTAGGAAACTTACATACTTACTAGAATGACCTAGCTCTCCAATTTACAGAGCCACATGTTTTGTATGTTCATAGGCAGTTTTGCTTTAAAGACAGAAATTAGCATCATTCTTGAAGTATCTGTCTCACAATCATGACCATAAGTCATGTTAACCTGTACAGATCAGATGTTGAAAGCATTCATTCTTGATTTTCAGTTAGCAATGTGTATGAAATGCTTAATGGGGAACTTTAAAAATATTAAATATCTGTTCTATAAAAAGTTTGCAGTTGGTTTTCTTGCTATTGCTAGGATTCTGAGGAAATAGTAACTCTTTGAGGAAATTTTAAAGATCATTTTAATGGAGTGAAATTATATTCAAAGAACTCTTTAAAAATACAGATTATATATTTTAATGGCTTTATATTTTGCATTTTACTTTTTTAAAATCAGAAATTGGTGTCTAACTTGTTTTACTTTGATAATAGCACATTAAAGTAGGTGTCATTTCATGGCCAAATTATAATTAAATAGAACATTTTAAGCCTTGGGGAGAAAACACAATGGTGGAGGCTTCTTGGCCAATTGCCAGTCTTTTGTGTGAAATCCTACAGAGCTTCAAGTGTGTGGATACCCAGAGCTTCTGAGATACAGGAAGGGAGCTGCAGCTGATCCATCACATTATCATCTCATTTGTGGGTTTTAGAACAAAATGCCAGGGAATCACCCTGAAGCATGATACTACTAGCTATAAGCGATGAAGTTATAGTTTAAATTAATATTTTCCCATACCTCATTACTAAGAAACAAAAAGAGGTTTCTTCTTTCTCTGTGTAGGGTGTATTTGTTATTTCCCAATGCAGTTTAGTAAATTTACTTTCTTGGACATAAATTTCTTGTGGTTAGACTGAATGATTGGCTGCAGGGGTAAAAATAGTGGTTTAATGTTTTTGATTATTAACTATTTCGACTTTAGTTAGTATTAGATCCCCTTAAAAATAAATGAACCAAACACCAGCATACTCTGTGAAGTTGTAACATACTCTGAAGCTTACAGTTTTTCTGTCCTAAGTTTCTTTTACCAAGAGTCCCTTCCCTACCCTTTCTTTTTATGTCCTTCATGAGATCATCACTGAATACTCCCTTCAACTCTCTAGCTCCAGTTGCAGCTGGATATAATTTCTCCTGAACTTGTAGCTCTTGGGATGCTTCTAATTTCCTGTTGCATGTTAGTTATTTGTAAATGGCCTTGGGAATTGCAGAAACCATATCTTTGCATTCAGTGTCTGGTGCAGAGTAGGCCTTATATGTTTGGAAGACTGAGTTTTGACAGCTGTCTTCTGAAATTAGGGATAGTTAAACCAATTCTGTAATACTCTGTCCTCTGATCACCTTGGAGGACTGAAGAGCCACAGGACATTTTTCCTGCAGAATACTTGAGTCATGACCCAGGTGAACTATTTCATTTCCTTGCCATGATAGACACCCTTGTAGAGCAGCTTCCTCAGTTCTGATGTAAGCAGGGTATCCAGAGAGAAAGCACATACTGCGTTAACCGTCAGAAAAACAAAAGCAGTTCACTTCAAAAGAGAGAAAACAATACCAAAATAATAATTCCAAATAATTGTGATTTGACACAAGCCCTCTCCTTGAGGTGATAAATAGATTAACATGAAACTGAAAAATAAATGGAGATTCAAATAAAAATGAAGATTTTCTCAAGATTTTCATATAGGGGCTATTGTTCAGTTTACTGTTTAAGTCATATTTCCTTCCCTCCCATCCAGTTGCCTCCCCTAACCAATACAAATAGAATTGCATGTGATATATGTTATGGTGGGAAAGAAACATCAAAACTAGAAACTTTTATGTAAGTAGATAATTGAAGTTAGTAGATTTAAAATACCATGGAAATAATTTCCTGACATTTAAAAGAGTCAACTTTGATCCTTGTAAACAATAGCTGAATTTCTGAGAATAAAGAATTAGGAAAAGAATATTAAAAGTAAATTACTAGAATAGCTCCCTTTTGGCAGGTAATGCTTAAAAACATACTTTCAAACAAATATTATGAAATAACAATTTGTTCAAAATGGCTTGTATTTTATATTTTAAACACATATGATAAAACCCTTATTTGTGGTTTTACATTGATAACCACATAGCTTTCTAAGGTAGTTTAAAAAGGAAAGTCTTTCTGACTATCCATTAAAAACTACTTGAACACAAATTCTCTTCTCTTTTTTTCTTCTCAACCCTCCCCAACCCTAATAAGAAGTGAAGTCTGGTTGCATTGCTCAGGTTGGCTTGGAACTCTTAGGCTCAAGCAGTCTTCCTGAGTAGCTGGGACTACAGATGCTGGAGCAAATTGTCAGTGGTTTTTTTTTGTTGTTTTTTTTTTTTAAATGGGAGAACGGGGAGAGTTCTGTTTATTTAAAAATAGTGTTTTGAAGTTTAAAAAGAAATTTTCTAACAGACATGGTCTAAAAACATGAAATACTTCCTTGATGGTACTTGTCTGCTTTTAATAAAGAGTATGGATTTTCTCTGAAGGTTCTTCTAATTTTCCATATTTGGTTTATTTAATGGTAAGACATCAGAATTTAATAAAAGAGGATTTAAACACATACTTGCTTTCTAAAGGAATTTTTTTGGATTTTAACTTTTATAAGTTTGAAATACATAGTTATTAGAATGTCAGCTTGCTTACCCCCCCTTCAATATTGCTCATTTATGATAAAAAAGTAATTGTATTTGCCTCTAAATATCAAAATGATGTCTGAGTAAATGAAAAAAAATTTAAAACGTGATGGAAGATCTACTGTACCCTTTCTGAGGTGCTTTTTGAAAAATAGTATTAGTATTATGTATAATTTCTTGTATAAAGAGCTTCGTGGCTAATGTACTGAAGTACTTGTTTCTTAACTGTTGCTTAAAAAAATCAGGTTCATAGGGCTGGAGGCATGGCTCAAGTAATAGAGCACCTGCCTCACAAGTATGAAGCCTGAGTTCAAACCTCAGTTCTGCCAAAAAATGGGTGTGTACATATGTATCAGGTTTGCTTCTATGATGATTCCTTCTTGTTTCAGATGAGGGAAGAATTGTTCGGTATATTTTCTTCAGCAAGAATTTGATGTGGAACTTTAAGGCTTGGGTAACTTCAATAGTACTAACAACAGGAATGGGAAAAAAATAGAATTTTAAAGCTGGAGAAAGCAATAGCAATTTTCTGTCTTGGATGATATGTATATTATTTATTACAATAGCAATCGAATGATTAAAAGTGGTTAGTATAACTGAGGAATTGAATATTCTGCTT